TGTACTACCTGGTGGGATATCCATTTTTCAGACGTATTTGGATGAGTAAATCCAGGGTCGAGCCCACACGCCCTCTGCAACGCGTTCGGTCTTTTGCTTGATCAGTTATCTGCAGCTCAAACAATGCTGCGCATCCTATTTTATGTGGTAAGTGATAGCTCTTTTCTGTATCCGGCTCATTCGCCAGATGCAGTCTGATCGGCGTCCATCAGTCCTCGCTCGAAAGGCGAGTTTTTAGCAGCGCTTCTGACTTCCCCGCGAGTTTTTTGCATTGCATTTTTACTCTTCATTCTGGTGAGTTTAAAACTGCTCTGTGGCGAGCGCTCCCGAGTCGGAACCTGATAAGATAACACACCATTCCTCAGGTTATTCTCTTCGCTATCTATCCGAGAGAGACTCCTTTGTTGCTTCATCGTTTATCCGTTTATATGGGATCCGCTCTTCAGCTTAGCCGAGCCGCACCGCGGGAGCAATACCCGTCCTCCATCGCCCAAGTTGGTACTGGAAACGGTAGTTCCATCTAGCGAGGAAGCGAAGAAGTCCTCTTGTTATGAGCACCTCACGGTTTCAGCGAGGCGTGGAGCTTTCCCTGCTCAGCATAGGAATGCTGTGTTCCTGTATTGAATTTAGAGACTGGAGGCTTAATGAACCTGCCAGAGCGGAGTACTGAAGCCACTTTACTTCCGTGACGGATTAAGCATCTATCGCAGCATGGCCAATACAATTGATTCGACACAAGGCTTGCACTGCAGGTTTGTGCCACTCCGCCACTATATGGCTTGGCTCTCAATATTATCGAAGAAAGGCATCAAATGGACGGTGTTGTTGACATTCTCAGATTCGCCCTTCACCATATCACATGCTTTGTCTTCTCCCCTCCTTTGTTCTAGATCATCCATGCGACCTCGGTGAGTCTAATGACCTGCACTTCTGCCCGCAATCTCATCGATTTCCCTTTGCCCAGCGATTATCTCTTGTGTCTTGAAGACGTTTGACATTCTCCTATCTATTTCATTTCGCTAGATCCCGAATCAGTGTGCCTTTGCATATGCCTATACCAGCTTATACCTCTGATTTAAGCGGATCATCCTTTTCCTTTCGGGTCTATCAAATTCGATCGCACAAACGTTGGCATCTCCTCCTGAGATATGACTGGGGGAGAGCTTCATTCAAGACAGACCAACAACGCATGTATCTCATCGAAGACTTCATTCAGTCCCACTCATCTCATTTCGATGAATAGCCAATCTCGTACGATCGCGGGGCGACTCTCAACTTGATGAAGTACTGTTCATTTATGATGAGTGGCTGAGTGAATCCGCGGACATCGTGATAACTTCATGGCCAAGGCGCTCGACGAAGATAGACTTATGGACCTATCTTGTTAATTTTGTTCATTCGTTCCATTCTATCACAATTCTTCCCGCGTTGCTTTCGCAGTACGTGATGCTCGTCGAGGTTTTGCTGCATTGGGATTACCGCAGAGACGCTCGTCCACGTGTGGATATTATGAGAAGATCAGAACCATCTTCTGATCAGTAATTTATAAAAAAAAAGTTACATATGTGGTACATAGTTTCGATCTGTTAATGTTCGAGGCTCTGCATACTAACCTATGCTAGGCCAGGCTGGCCCGGCCACACAATACCAACTTGTGGTACGCAGCATCTACTTATAGGGCGTGCTGCTGGTTTCAAGCCAATTGCAAGTTCCCATACACGCCCTTCTTTACACCGCCATACCATGGAAGAGCCATGGATCAAGCCTTCAACTTGTAACACTCACGCCTGCATGCAACCCTAGAATGCCATATCGGCAAACAATTGGCCTGGCTGAAAATATGCCTTGCGCATCAAAAGGGTCCTGCCAAACTTCCAAACAACACCCCAATCATGTAATGCTTGCCAACGTTCTTTCCCGTGAAGGCACACACTAGTTTCGTAATCCTGGCCAATGCGTGGGGTAGAATGAACCCGAAGAAGACACGCGCTGTAATCACGCTGCGTTGTTTTTTTGACTTGTGGTACGACATGTCTTTGTTTGATCCGTTTGTGGTAACCCCGTAGGTTACGGATTTGGTTGGATGCGCACATGATGGCTTCCTTGTGGTCGGTGCTAGCACCGCGGTGATCAGCATCAAGGGATTGCGAACCGCGGAAGGAAAGAAGTCATTTCCTTTGCACCTAAAGCAATGTATGCGTAGCTGCCTCCTAGCCGAAGGACAATGGACAAAGGTCAGTGGCGGGTTCGCAGATGCAAGTGGCACAACTGCGTGTATTCAATGTATCGTTGATGCAATCAGACCTACCTCGTTCGTCAAGTCAGACTTGATGCATGTAAGTGAATGATGTCTTCAAACTCACCGTCTAGATAGCCCCTAAAGCTGGCATGCTCGATACGAGTTGTGTATGTTACACCTTTTTACATTGGACGAAACCCTTTTGACAGCAGCGATCAGGAAACGGGATTCTGATGTGCTGCGTGGCGCAGGGTTCAGACTTACCAGCCCTGATCAGTGTCACAGAAGCACGGCACGACCAACAGACGGGTTATCTGTCAACGAGTGTTTTGCGGCATTTTCCAACACTTCGTGTTCACTGAGGAGCTGCGAGACGGAAGGTGAGATAAGTCAACTACGTCATGCGTAAGGAGATCAACAAAACATAGACATGTGATAATCGCAATGAAAATTTGTGTTGGTCAGACTGTGTATACCGAGGATACTCTCGGATGTCATCCATCCAGGGTTCCAATTGAACCTGATTGAAGACTTGTAGTCTGCAGACACTTGTGGGTAAATCATGTCGTGACGGTGATAAAGTGAAAACACCCACTCTTGTTCGCGAAGTCACTGTGAAAACAGAAATGCAGACTGCTTCAGGTTATTCATTACGCTGCCCAGGATGTTGTTGTGAATCCCAGTTCTGTGAAGGAAGGTCAAACTTGAAGTATTCATCGGGCACCCAGCCATCATCATTACTTGAAACCCGCATGAACGTAGGTCAATAGAGTGTGTGAATGTTATGGCAGTACTGACAGAGAATGCGAGAGTGGATGATGCCGATATGGGTTGAGACTGATGAATTGTAGATATGAGTTCGAAACGGTAAACAATGATTTGACACTTACGTTCTCCATGGGAACTACGTCTGAATGCAGTGGTGATTCGAAAGAGGAGCGACTGGGCAGTAAGGAATTAGCTGGGGGTTACAGGGCGATTGTCTGGTCAACTTGGAAAGGAAATAAGGAACAACAAATACAAATGGTTAACACGAAGGTCATCATCACAAACAGAAATTGCATCTGTGGGGTAAAGGGCAAGAAGGCGGGTAGCAGAGAAAAGCGGGTTATTGTGGGTCCATTATAGGAGAAGGTCAGCATGTCCAGGGGCGAAGATATCATGGGCAATATCGCTGGATTACAGCGCAAGGAAGCAGCGCGGGGTGTCGGGGCAGGCTGAATGTCGAGTAGGGCGTGTATTTCAGACGCACCGTCTTGAAAGAGGATGTTGGCGTACAACAGACACATTATGGATGTGCACACATGGCTGTGGCTCTTGTGCAGGTTAGATGCTAACAAAATTGTGAAATGCTGCATATGTAAGTGTTCAGCTCATATCCGGTTGAGAAGCCACTGTTGGCATGAGTCAGATGAGAGTAGGGCAGGATGAGGATCTAAACATCAAACCCTTCGCAACAGAGCTCTCGGACAGTGAGGCTCCAGCATCAGCGTGTCGAACTCATAAATCATTTTGGCACTACCGTGCCTGAAGCTGGTCAGAATGGCCAGATCTTCGGTTGTCCAGAACACTATTGCATACGTCTGCAACCCACCGCGAAGTCTCCCACACCCCATAATAACTTCAGATACTTCCGAGGCACTCCCCACACGGTGGCACCTGACTTCACAGTGAGTTTGTTCGAGTGATGAGAAAATACCGTCCCAAATAACCACTGTCGAATGAACCACGATCTATCCTGTGTCAAAATTCCATATCTTCGTATCATCTGGCGACTTGCTCGTGGCAAGGCGCATGCTGTCCGGATCTGCGGAGATGTCAATCATGAAGAGACTGCCCAGAAGCTAGTTTCTGATCCCAGTGATCCTTGCGAGTTTTGAGCTCTGCAGGACAACTCTCCATTAGTAGTGACAACTCAGTACCCATTGACCATCCCTGAAAACTACATATACTCCCTGCTCATGTCCCTTCATTCTACTGCGAGGTCCTATCGCCAAGCGGCCTTACCCCGGAGGCCGATCATTAACTGCAATCCCCGAAAGTACTAGGTCCTGAATGCTTGGGCCTAATGAATTCATCATGACCCCGGAAGGTCTCTACTGGTGTTATTATCAATTTGGCAGTTAGGAAAGTTGGCAAATACGGGGATGTTTATATTGAACGCGTTCAAAGGAGGCGGTGAGCTCTCTTGGATTGCAATAGGCCAGATATTGACAAGACCAATGATTTCAAATAGGTATTGGGGTTGCAGCACGTTGTCTGGTGGAGCCAATTGTTAGCCCATCTACGCTCGAAGCTTTGATCGACCAAGCCTTAGTAGGCGGCCGGATAGCAAGGAAGCGAAGATTTCAATTTTGTGACTGCAAATTTTGTTTTCTCGGCGGGCGTCTGAGGTTCGACTTTTGGCCGACTTGGTGAGGTGGCTACGGCTGATAATGGTGGCAGCAGCATCTACCATCGACACTGCGTGGACCCGGCCCCCCCCCTTAGACTGAGATCCGAATGCCCAACCACGAGCCAGCCCCAGTGGAACCCCTTCGTCTGCCTAGCGACCATGACATTCTTCAGTGCACAAGTTTCTCGTGTCTTCAGCCGTACAGTGTTGCAAGAATAGCAGGCGCTATAGTGCTTAGCCTCCATGATCGACCTAGTATGTCCTGCACAAGTTTGCACGCCCGAGCAAAGGAGTGATCCGGGCGGAGTGACGGTCATCCGGGCCGCTTCACTATAATTAGATCAATACCCCACTTCCACTTCCACTTCCACTTCCACATACTTCATACAACTACTAGATGTATTGTCGGCATCAGGCTATTAGCTAGCCTTCAATGACAGTAAATGTTTTTTTTTTCAAAAAACTCCATACAACTAAGGTGAGGTACGTATTCTCCCGTAGTCCTTGATAGAAGGAAGACAGCTCCTCCTCAGAGGCGAGCTAAGTGTGCTCGAAGATGAGACATTCCTTGATGGTTCTTAGATGAAGCGTCACAAAATGTATGCATTCGGTATCTCTCGGGAAAATACTATAGGGTTTCAGCTCTTTAGCTATTGGCGTACTAGAGTACGAGCCGACTCGTGGTTCATGCTTCTCAACAAACAGTGCCCGAGAGAACACTGTGCGTGTATAGTCAAACAAAAAGGCTATGAGCTCGGTTGGTTCCTGATGCGCATGTACTGTAGGTGTCAGCTCGTCAATAATGGGTACGAGGCTTGGAGGTGGCCCTTGTTCTGTAAATATGTTGTGAGCTACAATAGAAGGGGCTCGTCGAAGACATCTCTTACCCGAGGTATGAACCTTGGCCTTGTCCTGGAAAAAGGTACTTGATCGACGTTGGATACAGTATTCATGACAAGTGTAGGCAAATGCAAATTTATGATCCAGCTTGGGGGTTTGGGGTCAGTACCTGGGTGTCTACAAGAGACCATAGAAAAGCTCACATAGTACTGGATGCCTGAGTCTGACTCAGGAAGTATGGAATGGTTCGAAAGTATGAAGGTATGGATTTTCTTTGCTGTCTTTTTATGCATTTGAAGGTCATGCAAGTGGCCGTGCCGATAAGGCTCAGGCTTATCACACAGCCTGGTTTCTACTTGGAATTTGGGGAGGGGTTCAAGGTAACAAGGCTGGCGCCCGGCGAACAGTGTACCGGTGAGTTTTTGCTGGCGCTTATGCTGATTGCGGTGCATTTACCTGGTCATATGTTCTTGACAAAGTCCTTTAATATCTTCTTCTCACCGGTTCTCTGATGCGGCCGCAGTGATAGGACAGCGCTAGAAATCTCTTATCTACCCCGCTCACAGCTTCGCCAAGGAAGTGCATCTGATGGAAAGTTTCGTTGCAGTTTCAATTTATAGCCTCATAAAGCTATCCACAAGATGCGCTGCCACAGATTTATCTACCTGCAGGCTAGTGTGTGAACTAGTGGGGTACACCTTCCTAGGATGATCTGGCTGGCTACGCGGCCAAATGCATTACTCGCTCTTTGCAAGACGAAGCAGTATCTTTACACAGACGCAAGCGTGTTGTTGGAGGTCTAGCTTTCCTGTTCAAATACTTGTGTCATTTGCACATTGGAGTGGTTATACTACTACCTCACCTTTGGTGGCCTTTGCTGTACTATGGTGATGCGGTTGCCTAAGGTTCAAATGGTACCTAGGTCTTCAAGTTGTGTTGTCGAGGCTCGACATATCATGATGCTGTCGGGTCTGGTGCATTCCTGTGAGAGACTGATGCAAATACACAGACACGGTGACGCAGCGGCTCGATCGTGTCCAAGCTACGATTGAGAAGCAGTCTGCAGATCTATCACAGAAGACGACGAGGACAATGGCACTGAATAGTATACTGGCGGTAATCTCCGAATATAGCAAAAGTTTCCTACGGTTACGCAAGTCATCTTGGACCAGGTTTTTAACACAGGGCAAGAGCTGCCACATAGCTCCCGGGGAGACTCACCAATTCTGCATACTACGACACACAAGCAGACGTGGTCTGGCGATGGCAAAGTCTTTTGCTCAGTACGCCTCTCAATTTTTGACCCAGCAGCATAATCCAGCATCGAGTCTGTCTTCTTCGCAGCCTTTATTCTTTTCATTCACAACCGACGAAGGGTCTCGTGCAGGTGATGATCATGATACAGAGGTTGACGACGTTGACGACCCTCATCTGCGTGTAAGCAGACTGTCAAGTCGCGGAAATTTTAGGAGTCGAGCACATGATATAGATGATGAAGACCCATATCTACGCCTCGACGAAGGGGATGATAACCTGCCAGGGGCCTCTCATCATACTTCTCAGTCAATTCCTTTGATGGCTTCTGACTATGGCCAAGCTGAGTCCCAAGACTATCCAAAGGGCTGGCTTGCCCACCAGGCATCTCCTCCTCGAAGAATTCGCTCGCCTTTACCGTCCCTTTCATCCTCATCTCTTGGTTCACCTGAACCTACAATCGACTCACTGAGACCCATGCCTAATCGCTCTGCTAGACAACAGCATCCTCCGCCTCCACCTTCACGAGCTCGCGAGCCTGTTTCCTTATCTCTGACTGAGTCGCTACTGCCGAGGGATGGCACCACACGCCCCATCGACGTATTCTCTTTACCAGATCCGCGGCATATCACTCGGGCTCGACGGAAGTTCAATGATTCGTACTGGACCATATTTTGGTGTACAGGTGTTTCTGTATGCGTCTTCTTTTCCATTCTACTGCTATTCTTTGGCAAGACTCGCAAGGACGACGGACGGAGGGCTTCGCTCCCATACACAACGCTGCTGCATACAGTACCCCTGCTTACCATATTGACATTTCTGAGCGCTCTTATGGCATATGTCCACGTTTTCCTCCTCCGCATATTTGTTCGTCCAGTCATGATCGCAACATCCGTATTCATACCAGCTACACTTTTTATCTCTGCTATATGGGCATTCGTTGGTAGTTTCATGTGGGATGGAGACCAAGAACCGACTTGGGGTGAAACAGTTGGGTGAGCACTCTTTTCGTCTGTTTTAACCGCAGAAGCTCATTAGGGTGTCCAGTCTTCGACTATTCTCACTTGTACCCCTCGTTCTCTCCATCATCACTGCCAGAGGCCTAGTGAATTTACCCCGAGAAATCCATTCAACTTCTTCTATCCTCGATCTTACCACACGGCTTCTCATTGCAAATCCTTTTCTTCTCGCTCTCTCCCCCGCGATGCTTCTCACGATGCTGGTTGCATCTATACCATTCATTACTGTGATATTCCGACTCCTTTTGATTGGTTATGTCTATGAACCCAATGGGACGCTAGAAGGGCATGTTCAAGGGTGGGCGAACTGGGCAATATTTGGTGTGGTTGGTGTGTGGTTTTGGAGCTGGGGCATCGCGAAGGGGATGCTGCGTACGACTTGTGCAGGTGTTATTGGTGCTTGGTACTTTGCCGAGTAAGCGTTTTTTTTTCAGTTTTTATCTCGTTTACTCATGACCTCAGCCCTGATGTTCCAATTCCACTACCAAGCGATACTCACATCATTCATGCTGCTCTCATGCGGGCTGCATATCCATCTCTCGGATCGATTGTCCTCAGCGCGCTCATCCTCACGGGTATCCGATTGTTAGGACTTCTCACGCTGGCCCTGCGCTGGCTTCCGCTCTATCTACCGCTTGCACTGCGACCATGGTGTCAGCCTATAATATTTGGCTCAGGTATGGCAGTCTCATACCTAGAGAGCGTTACCACATCCTTGAGCAAGTATGCGCTCGTATATACTGGGTTGACCGGAGACCCCTTCTTTGTGAGCGCAAGGAGAGCCCGGGCCCTCACTGCTACCGTTGAGACTACTAGCGCTGGTCGGTACCGCAAGAAATTCAAGACCGAACGTGCGTTCATCTTTGTGGTCCGCACAATCATAGCTGACATGCCATTCAGCACCATTACGGATGCTTACCTATGCACCCTTAACTCTGACATTTCCCTTCGCACTTGTGACATATCTTTTTGTCGCACATACGTTAGACGCACCTGATTATGCGTTGGGAGCCTCGTTACTTGCTGGTGGTGTCACCGCACTCGTGGGCTTGTTTTGCATAGGACTAGTCAAGGATGTGTATGTTATGATCAACTAGCGCAACATTCTCGTGCTAATCATTGCCACACTAGTGCTGATACACTGTATCTATGTTACTGCATCGACAAGGATGTGGGCGAGAGACACAGGGAGGAAGTATTTGCTGCTGTGAGTGTATTTTGGATCGGCTTGGAACATCACTTACAATCACACTCAGCTCGAATACGAGATACAGCCTCGGACCGCAGCTCGATCGCAACCTCAGACTGCAATTCCGCCACAACTGCAAGCTCAGCCGCGTTCGTCGTTATCAGGTCGGCCTGAACAGGCATCTCCGACTGGGGCGCAGCGTCCAACAGTCATCTCTCCTCCACTATCCGACTCACCGCGCGTACCTCAACAATTTACTCCTCCCTCTCCGAAACCTGTTCCACGCCCTATTCAACCTGCTCAACCTGTCCAGCCGATACAGCCAACCATCCCAGATGCGGATATTGATCCTTTCGAACACGAACCTATAGGGTTTGATGCACCTGCAGCGCAAATTCATGGGTACGATCTCTCCCCTGAGCCTCGCCATGTGTCAGTGGATGACGAGAGCCTTGACGAAGACGACGAGCACGGCGAAGAGTCACAGCTTTTCCCAGGATCAGGGCTTTTCTAACACGAGTACTTAGAAGTGGGCAATTGAACTTGTTTATAATCACACTAATCTGCGATGATGGTGACATCTTAGGATAGATTAATCGCATTATGCTGTATATCTGCATGTCTTGTTTTTGTATTTAATATATTTCCATCTACATATTCATTTTCTTGACCTGATATCAACGTAGATTGAGAAGATTTACTGTTCAGTATGGTTCGAAGTAGCTGCATGGGCCAGCTAGTAGTACTATCCTCGTTTCAAGTTCCTCTGACCAGAGAGTCCCCTTGAACGTCCGCATGTTCACAGGTGAGATGCAGAACGTGTACTGCTACTGTTCCAAGTTCTCCCAGATTGGCGTTCCGAAACTTCCGATGTCTCCGACACACGTAGCTTATGACTCGGAGCACTGATTATTTCAAAGCAACATCAACAACTTCAAGCTTCGACAGTTCTGAGCGGTTCTATCAGGTAGCGCTCGATTCACGGTTTACTGCACCAACCAAGAAATGTCAGCAAATCAGTTCAAAGGTCCCTATGACCCTTCTATCATGGCTGAGTCCTATGCACAGTGGGAACAGTCGCTCGAAATTGAAATCCAACGGACTTTTGATACTGTCAACCGCGATGTCTTGGATGGTTATATGGCTAGAGATCTTGCCAGGCTCAAAGACCCTCAGGTGGATCCGGATTTCCTTTGTACATGGACTGTGCGTAGCGTCTGTGTCATAATCGTTTGAACTCAACTCCAACTGCTGGTAATTTCAGGGCATCCTCTGGGACAGGACCACATTGTCGAGGACTGCAATTGAAGCTCAACGAGCACCTACCGGTTTCAACTTCCTGATCAAGACCTGCTTAAAGTACAACCTGGTCGAAGTCATGATTTTGATTACATCGAGATACGGCACATTTAGGCTCGGCATGAAGAACGGACATGCTCTGGCCAGTTATTGTGGACTCGCAGTGCTGGACGACCTCTTGCACGTAGGGACAGATGTCGAAAGAAAATCAATCGCCGAGGAAATGATGAATCACAACATTGTAGACCTCTGCTTCAAGGTGAGGGCACATGCGATGTCGTTTGGGCGAAATCTGAAGGATGGAACATAGAACATAGATAGCTGGCTCTGCGCGCACCGCAGACTTGCTGCTTGTACCATTCGCTCTTTGGCTGGTCTAGTTGGGGACAGGATTCCTGCGGATATGGTGGCGGACATCATTGCGAAGCTCTGTGTTTTTGTGCTCCAAGGACCCCGAATTTTTGTCGAACAGTTCTATGCTCCGGAGACAAAATGGCAAGGTGGAATAATTGTTTTAAGAGGGCAAAATGTGAGTCCTTTTGCTGCGGACAAGTCCATGGAATTAACTCCATTTCCTCCTCACCTGTCTCAAAGGCTTCCGAAGCAGAGGTGGCTAAATGTGCTCTGCGATACTCAGGACTGGCTCATGACGATGCTCTCTGGGCTGCTCAAGGTCTTCTATGTACCTACCCCATACTGCCCACCAAGTTTCGCCTTGAAATTCTCAAGAAAAGACCGCAAATTGTCGATTTGTTGTTTGATTGCGCGATCACGCCTCGACCAGCATGGTACCCTGAGCGGCAAAGTGACGCGGTTGCATGTGAAATCCTTGCACTTCTCTTCCAATGGCCCCCTTACGTAGTACCCGGCGTGTCTTCGCCGTTGGACGGCTCATCGAGAACCCAAGAGTGGAAAGCTTTGTCTCAAGCCCTAAAGATTTTCACTGAAAGACAAGATTGGAGTGGGAAGCTAATTGAAGTCTGGATGAGCATCGAAGAAGAGGATTGGCGCCATGTCGAATCGTCAGTTCCTACTCTTGATTGCACTTTTGTTTCTAACCCTTTTGTTCACAGGTTGTTCAACAACGTCAAAAATTATGGAGCAAAAACTCTCCTTGGGAAAAGGACTTTTCAACTTGCATTCGAATTACGAGGTATGGTAGCTGGAGTCAGAACATGCTCCACTGCTGAGTTTTGTTTTGTTCAGGCATCAAACGGATCACAGTCCTGCGGTTGATTACTACATTGACTCATGTGGCAGACTCATGCGGGATTACCAACGCAGAGTTGCAGTCTCTCCTTCGTGTGGCCTACGTTGCGTCGCAGAAAATAAAAGAAGCAGATCCGGAAAACGAAGAAGACCATCTGATGTATGCGGAGCGAACACAGGATATGTTCGCACTACAAGTTGGCGACTCACATGCAGCACCCCAGGTAGATTCCCCCTTGCAGATCGCAGAGGAAGTTGTCATGGGCCCTACAGCGCTCGCGCGATTGTTGGCCGTGCTCGCTCAACGGGGTGTTCTCGACTCAATCCAAGCTCTCAAGAAGGCACCGAATGGTCTCTCAACCGCAACCTCCTTAGATCAAGTACAAATGATTACACATCCCGACATCATACGGAAATTCCTGCTAATCGCTATCCGGCGTGTGGAGTCTCGTACAGAGTCTGGACGGAAGGCTACTCAATCAAACCCTTGTTACGCTCGGATGCACTTCATGTCCTCTGCAGAGCTTGCGGCCTCCTTAGTCTCGTTTGACAGGTATACGCGCGGAGAGTATGCTGAGGAGGTCAAGGGTATTCGAAGGCAGCTCGTCGTGGCCCTTGGGAATGCATCAGAGATGGCCATCCGCACTGGACAAAGTCAGATCGCCTTGAGCCTTGCACTCGGTGCGATAACAAGCGCAGAAAATATCCCCGAGTCCGAAGGTCTCGATGAAGCGGTAACCGCCAAGAACATACGACGAGCTGATCAAGCGAGAGCGGCACTTCGCCAAGGGTAGTTCACCTCACAGCCCTTCAATATTTTCCGCTTGATTACATGTGCTCTTCGTTATCAAAGTGTTCAGACTTAATTACTAGGAATCGGCGGTGCCAATTTCCTCCTTGCTTGTTCGACTAGGGTTCGGCGTTGCCGACTTTCGCCTTGCTCCGTTGCATGTGATGTTATTTCCTTCTCAATGCTTTCGATTCGGCAGATAAACCATAGGCGAAGGTGCGTTCTAGTGCTAGTTCTTCCAAGGTGTGAATGAAGATGACGTTAAAAAGAAATGTAGTTTTATCTTGGACTCAATATTGTTGCATCCAGCCTGAGTATGACCAAAATGACTGACAGGTTCATATAGAATGTATCTTGACATCAACTGTAGTTCTGAAAACGTAGTATGTTCACAATAAAATGGAGGTGAAGAAAACAGTTTGACCGAGTAGTAATAATATGATCCATGACCGGGACCAGTATCATTGACCACCTGTGTAACAGTCATCACCGGCGATGTGCGCGACTTCCCGTACACACGGGCATCTACATCATCCTCTGCCGTCGTACAACTATATGCCCGGTCATCACAGCTCGACACCGCGCAGTTGTGTCATCGTCATTTGCAGGATACGCCGCCTTGGCCGCCCTCAGTGTCATTTCGGTTGTGATGCATTTGAGAGCGCGCATCAGATATTTACTCTCTGCCCAGCCTTTCTAGCTATCTGTCGTGCACATCGCGTGCAGCTCCGCAACAAGACTTCCTCGCAAGTCGCTCCTTGAGGGCAAAATTACAGATCGCATCCGGAAGGTTTTTGAGCGAGCTGCACAGGGCTTTTTTTCTGACGACGCGGGGCTTTGGCCACAATATCGGACGCGTTTCGATGTGGATGTATTACCCCCACTCGCAGGTATCGTGGCAAACGCTGAGACACAAATGGGCGTTTTACACGCACAGTCTAACGTCACGGGCAGCATTCAATCATTTCATATATTCGTCACTTGATAGTTATTCGTACCTATTGCCGGATAGTTTGCGAGGTTTTCTTTGATTCTTGATTCTTAGTTCATAGTTGAGCCATCGAGGTACCTAGTTACCTGAGCTTATGTGAGCGTAGATGGCCAAATACAATCCCGAGGTGACAAAAAATGTCACAAACTGCAATGTCCTTTCTTGCACTTTCTCGGTCGTCCATTCGGCAAGCATTCTCTCCGTGTCTTGCACGCGGCTATGCCGCAAAGAGCTCGAATACTGAACGGGTACTGAACGTAAGTGCAAAAGACACGTCGGCTGCTGAAGGTGAGTATGCAGAGTTCAAAACTACAGTACTTCACGTTAACACTTGTTCCAGAAAAGACACTTTCGTCATGTCCACCAGGTACAATCCTGGAAGGATTGAATTATCTAAAAGGACAGCCTCCAGTAATAGCTCTACCTGATGACGAGTATCCTCCGTGGCTATGGGACCTTATGAAGCCGAAAGTATATGAAGATGACGGGCCTGGGGGCAAGGCAGAGAAGAAACGGCTCAGAAGAGAGAATCAACAACGTATCAAGGACCAGAACTTCATGAAGACACAGTAGTATAATGGTGAGCAATATGGCTATTCATACTCAACACTCTCAGACACATTCCCAAAGATGACTAGTACCAGTCGATGACTCCGAGAACTGGTTGCGCTAGATGCGGCCGTGTCAGCTAAGACGTGAGTTACCGTATTGGTACTGTGTCGAAATGTGCTGCTTTCTGTTGAAAATGATAATATTCACATCTTTGAATACGTATCTGCACGAACTGCGTATGCAGTGCTCCGTATCGCACAAGGTCCACACAATGTCACAAAAAGTTCGTATTGCGAAACTTCCCACTTTTCACCCAACATGCAATATTTGCATTGTTTGATGCACCAACCGTCGGCCCTGAACCGGACCTTACGAGGGTCACTCAGAACGAAGAGCTTATGTTCAAGACCATCGCGACGTTAGTACCTACGGAGGTTACCTTCAACAGACTGGTTTGTATAAGCGAGTTCCACTGTACTCCCGCCCCTCTTTTGTATTCATCAGTTTGATTTAGGCCAATATCCGGATGGTGAATTCGTGTGTGCAGGGCTAATAGAGATTGTCGCAGATTCTGCTCAATATGTTTATTTATGGATGTCTTCTTAGCAGGCAGCTGCGAAAACATATTCAAGTGTTCCCAATTCAACGGGTGGTCAGGCATGGTTAGTCTGATCGGTTCTAATACTTGCTCACCTCTACGAACAGGGACCTGATTCAGCGTACAAGATTTGGTGAGTCAGGCAAATGCACACAACTGACCGCACCTTACACCAGTTCGATTTAGGGTGGAAGCTCGTACTCGTCAAGAAAGGACTTGCCCACAAATATTATTTTGAAATATATAATGCTGAACGTCTGCCTGTCGTCTCTGAGATACTCGAGATACCTACCTTGATCCTGAACACCATTCCTTTCATGTTCGATATCAACTGCCGATTCAGCAACATCGTTCTGGACGAGTTCCGCGGCATCACACGATGCTTGTATTTCCACCCAGTCCGTTGATACTAACCCAATCTGGGGTGCACTGGATACATGCGACACGAGTGTCATGCGATTAGCAGTCGTTCTATCATCATCGACATCAGTGACGCCTGTCGCATCTCTTGCAGGCCTTGTGCTTCTTGATCAGGAGGACTATACTTTTTCGGCTTACCTCGTGGAAGCTGGCTAGACGAAGGTGTCTTTGATACGGCCGGACAGGGTGATTGGGCGATCAGTCACGGTAAATAAACAAAAATTTTGGGGCGTGTAGTGACCCGAATATTAATATACACTCTTCCCTTACGACTTTCACAAGCACGATTGCATGTACAGTTCATTGAACATAGTGTATCCATTTACAACTGAACATGAATGAATACGACGTAGACTGCAAACCAATATGTAAGAAAATTTGGCGTGGCGAGTGAAGGCAGTTAATTATTTTGGTGTGGAAATTCTCGCGCTGCGTTGTGAGGACAACCTAAACCAATTATTTGTTTTTATGATATATTGCTGGGACTAATACAAGGTATTCTAAAGTGCCTATTGCTTCCTGTACTATTGCTACAGACGTTGTATTGTCCTTCCTATTACTGCCAGCCCGGCTTAATCCTCGAAACGACCCCTATCGGTCCACTGGTAACGAATCTCTTGACCAGGAAAAGTATTCCTACAAAACTTTATCAAATAATCAACGCCGCCTGAAAGCGGTAGAAATCTCTCCATAGCGGACTTGGCAGCAGCAGCCCCTGACCTCGGTGCCGCCTTCGCAACCGTGCGCGATCGCAAAAACAGATGACAATCCTCAAACATGCGGTCAAAAATCTGTACCAGCCGCTCCATTGGTACTACATCGATGTTGACGCGCGCGCATGTCTGGATCTCGACAGACAGCTTAATGAGCACGTCCACAGGTGGCAGTGCACCAAACCGCAAGCATGCGATATTGCTAAAACTCGAAAACTCCTCATGAATCGAAGGGGAGGTACCCAGGGTACTCCATTCCCCATTCATGGCTTTTAACGTAGCTCGTACGGCCCACAGACGCTTCTCGAAAAACTTCCTTCTTCTCGTGATGAGGAAAGGAAGTACGTCTTTGTAGTTCTTCGTCTGTGGGTTCGTGATAATCGTGAAGAATTCGTGTGCGTCCATGAAGTCTTGCATAGCTTCGCATGGATTGTTTTCGTATGATAGTCGATTTCGGAGGGGTTTGTGTAAGATGAAAGACAGCTCCGGTGAGCTGTTTATCGTGACCGAGACCACCTCTTCGCGACTGTCGGATTTGGATAGGTAGGATGTGATCGTGTTTGTAATGACATGTTGTTTGGGAATTTTTGGCGGCGGTTTGCGTCTAGGACGGATTGTGAGGTCATCGTCCTCGTCTACGGATCGTGCTGAATGAGGCATGCTACCTGCTAAGTACATTCCGATGGGTCCATTTGTTCCGAAGTATGTCAATGACGTAGACCACTTACGTTCAGTTTCCTCCTTATGGTTGAATCGGGAGAGTGACGAGCAGTTCGAGGTGGTGCTAACAAGCATTAGCGTGCTAGGCATTTCACGAGATGGGCGAGCGAGAATAACAGAGGCTGTCCTGACTTTGCTGAGGGGACCCGAAGTATTAATAGGAATGTTGTCATCAATGAATGGAAGTCGTGAGAAAATTTAACATCCGATCGTCGATCCACAATTAATTGAGCCACAACCACATTAGGTTGGCAAATATTATGCGACGCAGAACTGAGGCGCGCGTATAAGAGATACGTACATAAGAACAAAAATGGTAGCTCAGATAGAAGTACAAAAGTAGACTATCCAACTTTAATGTTGGATTCCGCACATCTTAAGGCTATATAATACAGTTGCAGAAACGATATCGAGACAGAGTTGTCAGAATAGGGCAATGCGAACTTGCGGTCGACAGATCCAATAATTGAATAAACATCATCATAACTTGGCTTTGGCCTTGTCGTTAATCCGAATGACAATTTTGCCAAACTGATCCCCGCGCTTCATGAGCTCGAAGCCTTCTTCTGCAGCTTCGAGTCCTTCGAGGACATGGGACACCACTGGGACAATGCGATGCTCTGACATAAACGTCGTTGCGTCTGTGAGATCCTTGAGGGAGCCCATTGTCGAACCTTCCACACATTCAATATTGTCATTCAAGCAAGCAGGGGCACTTACCGATAAGCCGCTGATTCTTGAGCACCTCTCGCATGCTGAACTTGATTTGGGGATTTGCGGTCCTGTAATGATGCTGAGTGACATTTCAAGAAATAAACCTCCTTCGCTTACATCCCATAGACCACAACTTTGCCGCCCTGCTTTAAGATACTGTTCACTCGTGTGATAATGTCTCCACCGCCAGAGTCAAGAACTGCATCAATCTTCGCAGATTTCCCGCCGTTCTTTGCCAGAAGGGCAACAAGGTGCGATGGCCAATCCTCTGTGAGATAGTTTGAACCTGCAAGACGGGTGGTTCGAGTTAACCCTTACTTAATTTGTAGTTCACTCCGCCCTTGGCTCCAAGAGCAGTTGCTTTCCTAATTTTTTCCTCGCTACCACTCGTAACATAGACATTAGCGCCTCTGGCTAGACATAGTTGCATGGCAAGAAGCGCTACTCCTCCACCTATTCCGGTAATAAGAATATTTTGGTCTTTGGATGCTTCAGCATTGACAATCGCAGCTCTAGTTACAATGCACTCAGTGATAGGAAGAAAATGGTACCGCGACAAAGACGAACCTCCAAGCAGTTAGACCACCAAGGGGCCAAGCGGAGACTTGAATATCATCAAGATGGTCTGGAGAACGAATAACCTGATTTCTTTCCACCACAACGTACTCAGAAAATGTTCCTAACGGAGGGTTGCGGCCACCTCCAAGGATTCCGAAACTGCCTCTGCATGAGACGTGAGCCAATGTCAATAAACAAATATGTAACCCACTCCGTTTCCGGCGCATCTGGTTTGCTTTCCCAACCTCGCATGGGTGTCAGGAAGACGCGTTTGTTCAGCAGTGCGTCATTTGAATCCGCCGATGCAATTACCGTGCCTGGGTTAGCGCTCTCAGTGTCCCCAACTCAGCTTATTACTGTGATAGTACCTGCTCCATCAGCACCGAAGGCACTTCCAAAGTTGATTCCGGGGTATTGACCAAGGCGTATCCAAAGCTGTCAGGGCGTTCAGATGAGCAACGAGTTCTTGCCGCAGCCGATATTACGCCGGTCATATCACTCACGTCTCGATGGTTGAATGACACAGCTCCCATTTTCACGAGGACTTCCCCTTGTTTTAGTTGCTGCAGTGGACGTGTCTCCAGGACAGCATGATGATAGACAGGCGTTGCTTCCGCGGAGCACTTCTTAATGACCAGCGCTCGTGTCGATTCAGGAATTCTGCTAGCCATCATGATAGAGTATAATGCAGAACGCTGAAAGACTGCCACCACGCTAATATGAGGATGTGAGTTGCATAGCTGTTTACCGGTCACCTGCCAGTGAAATCATATGGACTTGAACTTGTGAGAATATGATATTGTGCTTATGTAACGTATTTCGGCCCTTGTTAGGAGCCGATGATAAATCAGGTTACGTTCCCTTTTCTTTTCAGCTATCACTGGCATGAACACTTATTGCAGCGTGCCAGACATAGAGGCAGAAGCCCTCGTCCTAGCACTATGTCTGTTAAATATAGAAGAAGTCGAAGGATCGCGCAAAGGAAAGTTACAGGAGGACGTCTGCTTGACGGACGAAGAAGTTGCATTTAACTTTCCGGCAGAATACTTGAAGGCGTCCTTGGCCGAACTTCACGATCGCATATTTGCACTGAGCCTTGATGAAGCACTCGAAACCGACAGTGCGGCTCTCAGTGTGTTGTCCTGCATCAACCAAGGGGAGCAAGATCATCATATTTCTGCTCTTGCCCTTGAAAGAGGCGATGAGGTACCAATTCCTACACACTCACAAGAAATACTTGAATGGACTGTATCTTTGTCGTTCGTAAATCTCATTTTTGACTTTATATATTACTAACGACCGTTTGGCTCCACTATGTTCAGTAATAATGATATCACAGGTGTAGTCGAGCCAGACCCAGGTGAAATGGATGACCTTGCCGGGCCGCCACAACATTCATATTGCTCTTTGACCGGCCATCAATCACCTTGCCAAACAACTAATTTCGTCCACCTTCTTTGCCATTGTTTCCTCATTTGCTAGGTGGAGAGCGGGACTTGTATTCGTTCGTCATCTGACTCGAATTCCTCTTACTAATATCTTATCGCTCACTACACGATCTTTTGCTCTTCCTCCGCTAGCATGCTGATATTCACCAATGTTACTTGGCTGGACCTATGTCTTGCTGGTGCCGGAGTGTATCTTGTCAAGCAGGCATTCAGAAAGAAGAACCTTGCACCATATCCCCCTGGACCTTCGGGGTGGCCTCTCATTGGGAACGTCGCAGACATTCTTCACAGCAAGGTCTGGCTCACATTTGCCAAGTGGCGCAAAAAATATGGTGTGCCTCATGTTTCCCAACATGATACATTTCGATTACACTGTGGTTTGCAGGTGACATCTCGCATATCGAAGTTCTGGGTCGGCACATCATTGTACTGAATTCTGTCGAGGCAGCGATGGCATTGCTAGACAAAAAAAGCTCTGTGTACTCTGACCGTCCAGTTCTTACAATGGGTGGTGAACTTGTTGGCTGGAAGTACTGTTTGGGTTTTCTCTCTTATGGTGATCGTTTTCGCTACTACCGCAAGAACATCCACCGCGTTATTGGCAGTCGCGCTGCTATGGCTGTCTACGAACCGATTGAGGAGATTGAGACCCGCCGGTTCCTGAAGCGTGTGTTTGCAAAACCCGAGCAACTGCAAGCACATATTCGACAGTACGTGGTGTTTATCATTGCATGAATGGGGCCTTTATTTTGTTTAGCACCTCTGGCGCTATCATTCTGCGAATCTCTCATGGATATGAGGTGAAGGAGAACAATGATCCCTTCGTTGACCTTGCAGACCGCGCTATGAACCAATTGTCGCGGTCCAATGATACTGGTGCCTTCATGGTTAACGTCATGCCATGGTGTAAGACTACAGTATTGTGGTATTTACATTGAGCTGACTTATTTCTAGTGGCCAAGGTTCCCGAGTGGTTTCCCGGTGCTGGATTCAAGTGCTTGGCCCGTGAATGGCGCCAGACCCTTGAAGAGTTGGTTGAAGCACCACACAAATTCGTCAAGGATCAGATAGTAAGCAACATATACAGTTTGGCGATTACGAGTTGAACACATCACAGGCTGCCGGAGTTGCCCGCGTGTCTTTCACCTCCCATCTGTTGAAAGGCCGTCCTTTGTCTGCGGAAGAGGATCACATGGTGAAATGGTCTGCTGTATCCCTATACACCGGTGGTGCCGACACGGTTAGCTCTTCCCTTCATATCACAGATTGATGATTATATTTTGAGACTAATATCTGTCTCCACAGACAGTTTCTACAATCTATTCGATCTTCCTGGCGATGACACTCTTCCCTGATGTGCAAAAGAAGGCTCAGGCTGAAATAGATGCTGTTGTTGGCACTGATCGTCTTCCCTCTTTTGCAGATCGCGACTCCCTCCCCTATATCGAAGCCCTTGTGAAAGAATCCCTGCGCTGGAATGTTGTCGTCCCTACAGGTATGTCTTTATCGTATTCTTTTCATTGCCGAGCGGTATCATCGCCTTAAGACAGGGATCCCCCACTGTGTCTCTGAGGACGATATCCATGACGGGTACTACATTCCGAAAGGATCTTGGATCATGCCTAACATCTGGTTAGTGCTCGCATTTCTCCGGATTCAACATAATAGAATTGCATACCAGGTTCATGCTCAATGACCCGCAAACATATGCTAACCCTTCGCAATTCAAGCCTGAACGCTTCTTAGACAATGACGGAAAGGATCCCGAACGCGAGCCTCGCACGATCTGCTTCGGCTTTGGTAGACGGTACGAATGGAATTGATTTGGATTAGAATGCTAACTTTCTTCTCCGCAGTATCTGCCCCGGTATGCAGAAGTACCCTCAATAAAACAGTATTGTGATGTTCGCTTGCTTTTGATTTACAGGCCTCCACCTCGCTGATGCTTCCATCTGGCTATCTACCGTGATGTCGCTCGCCGTGTTTGATATTCTCAAGATCGTCGAGAACGGTGTTGAGCACACTCCTGAGGTTGACTCCTCATCAGGCGCGATCAGGTATGTCTTGTATCCTATCACGTTCGCGGTGCTAGTTTGGATACGTACTCCCAGCCATCCCAAGCCCTTCAAGTGCTCTATCAAGCCTCGCTCCGCGAAAGCTATTGCGCTCATTCAGCAGGATGTTAATTATTACAAGAGTTCCGAATCCTTCGGACAGCAACCTTAACTATCCATTTCACAATAACAGACGTCTGTATACTACGTTGGCCGTCGTCTCTTCCTCCTGTTCTCGAAACAGCGCCTGAATGTGTCTGCGACCACGTACTCTTGACAGCGCAGTGTACAGTTGACCGTGTGCGAAGGAATCAGTGCGTAAGTCGAGCACCGCCTTCTGTAACGTTAGCCCTTGGCTTCCATTGAACGTTGTAGCGTAAGCGGCGCGCAATGGAAATCGCTCCGTCCTTACAATATGTAGAAAAACCTGGCACCGACTATTCATGCTAATCAAGATTAAGAGCCAGCGGTGATCATACATAAATATCAACGTCCCATGAACCGATTCATGCTTTCCCTCGGTGTCTCTTCCTATTACCACCATCTACGCCCTCAGATTTGTTCAGCCTATCGAGCAAGGACGACGTTCTTGGTGTGGGATCTCTCGACTTTGAGAAAGGAATTGAAGGATACGTCGAAGGCACTGTTCCTAAGCCTGCGAGGGGTGTTGGACCGCCAGTGTGAGGAGCAAGCGGAGATTGAAAGGAAAAGGAGTGTCGAGATGTTGGAGCGCCTGTGGAGCTCAAGTGGCGCGCGCACATGGGAATCACAGGATATTGGAAATCGCTCCGTCCTTACAATATGTAGAATAGAAAGGGCACGAATACTATTCTTGTTGTCTCAATTTGTCATGCATTCCGATATCGTACATATCTTGTTTCATCTTGTTGTATCGATGCCACTCATGATGGCCTGGTCCACATGTAATACACACATCTGGCACCTTGCCACCTCCCGGGGACCCAACAAGGAGCAGGTTCACGTAGTTAAGATCTCCTGTCGATATCCAACACCTTTACGCGTGGCAACTATCCTTGACTCAACCGTTGTGACCTCTTAACCATGAAGCTCCAAGCCATGTGAACACATTCACCTCGTGACCCGTCCCTCAACATTACGAGTTCTGCCGACAATGATACGAAGAATGTGTGTCCTGTCGTGCCAATTCATGTATGAAGGAATTCAAGGCGTGGGGAGGCACACAAGGTGGTGGTGGTGGTGGTGGTGGTGGTGGTTCATGTACAGGATGGCATAAGTATCTTTTTGCTCGCATGTAAGTAAGGCAATTGCTGTCCACCGTAGGTTGAACATAAAACGAAAGTGCCTGTGTTTCAGCTTGCGGCTGGTCATCGAATGATACTTCTGAATGAACATTGAACACAAGACAATGCTGTGCTCAGTTTCCCAAGGATGATCTCAAGGACCTCAGCATATATCACCACATGATAATATTTTATTCAGGTGTATACCTTTAAAATTCGCATGAGCAATGACATGTGCCAACCTGTCAAACCCCAAACTTCTAAACGTCCCTCCTTCCCATCACTCACTTCCGAGTGTCTCGATGGATCGTTTACCCCCTCAAACCCCTCCACAAGGTCAGAGATATCAATGGCCCAATATGGGCTGGCAGCGCGGAACATGTCAGGCCTGATACGCGCAGGGAATGTAAATGCGGAAAGAGGAAGATGGAAGACGGTCGCTACCTCTGCCCGAGATATGGTGAGTGAGGAAAGCGAGATGGAGGGTAAGGGATCATCTAGGGATCCAGTATCTGTGTGATGACTGCTACGTGGGTATACGAAGCCCTGCGCACCGAATTTAAGTCAAAACAAAACTGGTGAGTGGAATTAACGTACGACGTAGGGCCATACTCTGAGACCCATGAGACTTTGCTCAGGCGGGCCAAATTGGCCGAGAATGTCGATCTGCCGATGATCTAGACCTACTTCTTCTTGTGTTTCTCTGAGTGCAGCAGCAAGAAACGATGCATCTGCCTATGGGTATGATGAGGAAGTACACAGAGGTTCTGAATAGACTCACTGGGTCGACCCTTCCACCAGGGAAACTAGTGATCATGAGCACCGAGATACTTGATCATTTGGGGTTGAACATACCTGACTTCGCCAGCATGGGACCTCAGTTTACTGCCTCGCAGTTCAAGTAGCACACCGGGTACACCATCGACGTTACACAACAGAACAAGGACCGCTGCGTTGACTTCTCCTGAGGTCACTGGAGTCTTGGACGTTGTTGCATGCGCAATAATGGCGTTTTGGAGGGTGCGTAAAGAGCCGCGGGTGAAGGGGGAGGTTAGGGATATGATGGACATGGAAAGTTGGATGTGGAGGGTTGAAGCATGTGCTGCGGCTGTTATGAGTGTTCTGGACAGCATTTCTCCATGATACTAAAGAAACAGACAGGCGCGAATACTAATGATATTCCTTTGTAGCCAGGTCGCTCTATGGGAAAAGATTATGGGGTGAACTTGGAAGCTTTCAATGTGGCAGCGCTCGTAGGCGCTCGTGCGGTGCATGAAACTCCGACGAGCTACGTCCCCTGCACGAATCATGTCTTTCGATCATTGACTCGGATCATATACATACTGTGCTCCTCACGTTCTACACCCAAGGCAAATGGTGTCGATTTTGGACCTGGATCAAAAACGGGACGAGTTCGCATATCAAGTCGCTGCAAAAAGCGAAGTCGAAATCTTCTAAACAAACTCAGACGCAAAGTGACTCGGCGATTCCATGATCGTGAAATCCGTCGTCGTCAGCTTTGTTTGGGGGTCATTTGTCCAATACGGTCCCCCATAGCTTTGTTCTGACTAGCCTGAGATTCCATCTTGATTCTTCACAGCTGAAGTGTCATTTGGTGCAGATGTTTAGTAAGGACGAGACTTCTTCGGAAAAACTGCACATTTACCTGCGCGTGCGCTTCAACTCACCGAAGTTCATTTATATCTATAGCACTCGCCTCCGAATCTCGCGACTCGTCTCGGCTGATCTGTACGATACTTGTACCTGTAAATTCACGGCTCGAAAAAGCGACCGTAGCGGACTCTGCCGCGAGCCGCGGCGAGCGGCCTTTCGCGTTATTTATTATCTAAAAAAGTTTTAAAATCGCAAACGACATGCCCCGACAGCTGCGTGCTCGCACATCTCGACCAAATTATGCTTCGCTCCTGGCTATAGGCGACGACAGAACCAGTAGCGGGAGTGACTTTGCACCGGACAGGCTTTCCGACGATGCCCCCGAGAATGACCCCGAAGTAGACGAGGAAGAAGCAGAAGCAGTGCCGAAACAAGGCAACACTTTAGCTACTGCTACAAGGTCTAGACCCTCGACAACGGAAACACGGCCGTTCCATAAGCCCCCACCAAAATCTCAGTCCGCACAGGTATCTACTTCCAAGATGTCTGCTCCGAGAGCCGCGAAGACGTATGCACTACCAAATCCTAGCGTCCATCATCGACACAAAGCCATGCCGGTTTTCCTTCGTAAGGAAAAAGTCGAGCGACTTGATGCCCCTCCTACGCTCTTCAACCCACCAAAGATTGTGTCAACCAATAGTATGACATCAGAACAATTCCTAACGGATCGCATCAGTAGGGCTTGGGGTTATAATGTTGGCCCTGGTCCTGTATGGGATATCATGGAGGACCGGTCATCGTTCAAGGAGGCTTCGGAAGGAGAGGATACTTCGATGAATGAGTCGCTCAGGCGTCCCAGGGTCCATCAAGATGTTGAGGTGAATCCTGGATGGACGAGACTCGATGAGCGGTGAGCGTTTCTATGTCTGCTCATTCGAATAGCTTGTTGAAACTTTCTCAGTGATGCTGCGAGGTACTTTCCCACTAACACCGTGTTAACAGATAATGGCCAGCCTGCTCCTCTGCATTGCTTCCTTGGACCGTATGGTCGCCAGACTCGCGTTGAAATGGCTATGTTCGACAGCCACGCTACATGTACGCCCCTTACCACTTTCGCGGACGTCGGTCACGATTACAATTCCTTTATTAACAGCAGAATATATGCCTGGCAGCACATCTTTCGTGTTCAATGTTGGATCTCCTGCGTGGGGCGTAGATTGGTGCCCGACATATTCCGATGACCGACCCCGTAAGACAGCGCTCCCTTGTCAGTAGGCACCGCTCAAGATGATATGCAGATCGAGGTTATAAACATTACCTTGCGGTCGCCCCTTTCTCTTCGCGGTCGCACTCACCGATGATCGGTGCGAAAGTCCATCGTCCGGTTCCTGCTTGCATCCAAATATGGGGTTTGCAGTCCAAACAGGGGAACATCTTGCAAGAAGACCGCTCACTGGCCGGTGAGATAAAATGCGAGATGGTCGTTTGCTTAGAGTCAGGGCCTGCATTCGAAATCAAGTGGTGCCCTCTTCCCTCGCACGATCAGGTTTGTTTACGACCTATCCACCCCTTCACACTTTGCTGACGGTGGGAGCGCAGTGGAATGAAGTTCATATGGAAGAACACCCGCGAAAGCTAGGGCTACTAGCAGGGACATTTGAAGACGGTTCGTTGTCCATATATGTTGTTCCAGACCCAGAGGATGTAAGGAGTAAAGATGATGAATCAACACGTCCGACATCTGGTGGGTGGTTAGCCCTGATTTATCAACACACGACCGAGATTGATTGACAAAACAGTACATATACCCGAACCACTTCTCCGGATCGAGCTAGAGGAAACTTCTTGCTGGTCCCTTGACTGGGCCAATAGTGAAACCATCGCTGTTGGTTGCACAAATGGTCTGAACAATGTCCTTCAGTTGAAACGCTCCTCACCACAGTCATCCTGAAGGTTACGTCGCTGTATATGATATTGGTCATGCAATAAGAACAGGTCAGGGCTCAAGTGAGTTCTGGCTGCCCTCGTTTATTCCATTGTGACGAAAATTTTCCAAGACATGCTTCCAACCCATTACATTTCAATACATCAATCCGCGGTGCGAGCCCTTTCATGGATTCGTATCCCGCCGACGAATGACTCTGGCGTGCCATCGACCTCCGAGGATCCGACAGTTCTGGCTACCGGCGGATACGATGGCATGGAATGTCTGATTGACATCCGAGAACCACATGGAAATATTGTAAACAGGACACGGGGTTAGTGCCTTTGACAAGCAAATGTATTTCTCTGATATACGTTCCTAAAGATGTGATCAATAGCACTACATACTCCCCATTCGCGGGCGGACCGATCATGATTGATCACGACAACAGTGTCAAAGCATATGCAATATCTCCTAGTACGCTAGGCAGAGGGCACGTACTTCTGGAGCCCGATGGACCAGTGTGGGTACGTGCCACAACAGTCACTATCACTGCGCCGCTGAATAAAATCGCAGAGCGTCAGTGCATCGGAATACCACGCTCAGTTAGCGGTCGGTTCAGCAGATGGCTCTTGCGTAACAACCAACACTCTGAAAACAACAAGGAGAGGAGGGTCGGTCGTATGTATCCTGTGACGATCATAATGATTCTTCTCTCACAGTCTTGAAGCCATTCTTCTTCCGCAAGATCTTTCAGTTGGACTACAGCCGAAAGACAGGAGAGTTTCGTATGTTAGACCATTTCCTTCCGCAAGTGAGTGACATTCCAGATACACCCCTGTTGTTACTGACACTACGCCAGGAAACTCAAGAAAGGTCCACGAAATTGAAAGGGAAACAAGCCAAAAAAGATGAATCTGAGACAAGCACCAGTACTGGTGTATGGCCACCTGAAGTAGGCGTCCATCGCGTTACTTGGAACATGGGTAATGGTCTGGGCGGAGCGCCGCTACTCGCGTCTACTACGGGTTCAGGACTATGTAGGGTGGATTGGTTGCTAGGACGTTGGATGCGGAACAAGGTACCATACGTGAATGTGCCAAACATGAGGAAAGAGGTTGACGATGTAATGGACGAGGATAGTGGGGATGAAGTTGTATAGTCGATGTTATAGCACGATAAAAATTCGGATACATCAACGTTAACGTTGTCATTCACTAGTAGGCCACGTGAGACTCATGAGAATATCGGTAGTCCATCCATATCTGCCAGTGGCAACGAGCACAGTGACCAGTCACCGCTACATATCGATATCGTTTTCGTTCCTTTTCCAAATTGTTGAAGCGCGCCCTATGTGCATTGCTGATGGATGGCATTGGGACAGGATCTTTGGGGATAGTGCACAGTTGGTGGGCCAAACAGTGCGTGTTGAATGAAGCGGAGAAGTTTCGCAAAGCACTGCAGTACGCAGTCAACGTTCGTGTAAACTTGACGCGTTTCCAAGATGCGAAGACTATTGATCACTTGTTATCTCAGTTTGACCCTGGATCTATCCTTAGCGTTCACTTTGGGCGCAAAGCTCTTGCCTTGTATATTGAAGCGAAATGATGCACTGCTCCCATAAGGCACTTCTTCGCCTTCCTGACGCACCACCAATGGCTGCAATGACCAGCAGCGACTTGGAGGCCATCTTGCACGCTACAGAGCGGCTCACTCAATCCATGACAAGCGAAATCCATTTTAACGAACCCAAAACAAGAAGTGTAACACCCCTATCGGATGTCTCGCGGCTCTCGCCCACCGCCCAAGCGTGCTGTACTCCACCTACTTGTTCTCCGGGGTTGACATGGTGTGTAAAGTGAACGATTATCTATTGACAAGGAAGACCACTAAGCACTCTGGCGACCTATAACATTGCGTTCATAGTGGCACACAGGCGAATAACGAATGGCACAAAGCTCCACAAGACAGAAAGGCGACTTTTTGTTTGTCACAAATCTTTATCAAGTTTCTGAAACGAGATCGAAATCCGTGAGCTTTCCGACCTTGAACCATTACTAGCCTCACCGCTGCAATAGAGTAGAATGTATTGCCTGCGGGGATAAGGTCCCAGCGAAGCAAACCTTCCGCGCGCCATGTGCCCATCACTATTGCCGGGAATGCATCGCGAATTTCGCGAAGGCGTCCATGAAAGACGAAACTCTGTATCCCTTGCAGTGTTGCCAGATCCGAATGCCAGCAAAGAAAGTCGATCGACAATTACCTAAACCACTGCAGACACAATTCCGTGCCAAGACTGTGGAATATTCTGTCCCGCCGGCTACACGAGTGTACTGCGCAAATCAGAAATGTTCTGCGTTCTTGTGCTCTTCGGACACTCGGAATCGCAAGGCGGAAATGACTTGCCGTGTGTGTGGCACCACAATATGTCTCGCATGCAAGAATAGGAGACATTCGGGAGAAGAATGCTTAGAAGCAGGACTGCAAAGAGACTTGAAGAGACTTGCAGACGATAAAAACTGGCAGTCGTGTCCTGGCTGCCGGGCGATCGTCGAACGTACAGATGGGTGTAGCCACATCACGTGTCGCTGCTCCACCCACTTCTGCTATCGATGTGGAGCTCGCTGGCGAAAATGCTTTTGCCACAGAGACTCGGCGGGGGATCACTAAGTCCCCTGTCATAGCGGGAAGACCATGGTGAGGCAAAATATCAGATGTACTCTTGGCTTATTCATTGATTTCAGTGTTGTCAGTCAATTCAGTGCCAACGATTCAGATGATAATAAGCATATGCAGCACCAAAGGGATGTCCAAATCTCCTAGATGTCTCGTTATAAACGTACCCTTCTGTTTACGCACTGTATGGTACACGGACACACAGACACGATACAAGTGTATAGCCTTCGCAGAACAACCTCGTAAAATTCACAATTCGAACCAATGTCTATATGTATAAGCATGTTATATCCTTCGTGTATGTTTCAGTTACAGTAGTTTATGAGCTTCGTCCACTTGCTCGCAGTAGCCTTGCAGCGCTGACGCTATCACGAAGGTCTAAGACATCAAAGTGTCATAATAGATGGGTAGGACATACAATGTCAGTGCATCATGCATGTCAATTGGAAAAAATCGATCTGCATAGAAGGGGCCATGGTGATGCATCGAGTTAGACACCCCACTTCAAAACCCACTCTATCGCAGCTTCAAGGTTTCATCTAACAGATATCTTTCATTTTCCGAGTCTGTGTACGGTCAAGTTCCTCCCACATCAGTAAATTCACACATTTCTTGGCGGACCTTTTTTCAAAAATTGAAACCTATTTTTAACTTATTGACACTTATTCACCTTTATTCACTTGGCTGTTTGTTTTCACAAGTCAAAAAAGGAAGTGTATGACACACAAGTGCCAAAAAGTAGCATAAGATCAGAAAAGTTAGTTCAAATATTCAAAACAAAAATAAGTACAACAAGTAAAATAAGTGGTACCTCCCCTGCTAATTTCGTCTAATTATAAGTAATTCTCAATACTTAGGCGAATTTCAGATAACTAGTGTTTTTAGGAGATTAGATGGATTATGTTGCCCTCCCGATAATCCGTCAATAATGGTCGATAATTCTAATAATTTGAAGGTATTTGGAAGAATATCTGCCCTATTGTCTTTGCAATACAAAAAAATGTGTTCAAGTTTACCATGTGTTTTGATTAGGATAAGGCTAGTACTATTAGGATCCCAATCATGCTGATTCAATTGTATGAGAAACAAAATATGCATTTGATTAAATCAGGGTATCCACTATCTAGTAATAGGTAGTAATATACCATGACTATTGAGTGGATGTATATGGCAGGTATGTCAAGCAATAAGTATGTCAACAATGGCAGTACCAGTGAGCATGCTAAGTCAGATATGATTCTGTGAGGCTAGTCGTTATCCATCCCATCAAGATCAAGTATATCAGCAAAATCTCCAAGTTCCTTTTTGCACTTACATAACTGATTTGTATTACTGATCTCGCTGAGTAGAAAAAGGAAAGCTCTGATGTCACTTATTTTACTGGTACCCACTTTTTGCAGACATGATTCAAACAAATGTTGCTAATAAGATGTAAAAGTAAATTAAGTGCAATAAGAGATTTTTGTAACCTAATTGACAACTATGAATACAGGACCTAGGTTAGAACAACTACCGGGTAGTTGAACAAATCACCAGTCACGATGTGAATCCCATCCAGCAAGAATGAGAATAGGCACCCTACCACCCATGGAGGGGCTGGCGATGGCAGAGAAAGTAGCAAGAGCTGAGGAATTGCGATGGAAAGGCTGGATGCAGGAATGAAGGTGTGAGCAGCCATGTAAGCAGTGTCCATGCCGCACTGTAGATATGGTTTCAGATGCAGTCCCAGGACCTGCACCTCTCCAAGTGAATATGGACACACATATTATCATTCACCATGAGTGGGAGAGAGATAGAATGGCAGTGGGCATGGAGGACGGTATCGTATCATTGGAGCCAAATGATGATTTTGCTATGGGTGCACCAGGGGCCATGAATGAGACGATCCCAGCATGAGGTCTCCATGGAGTTGATATCCTTGTATTCGTGAAGATGCAGAGATATGGGAGAGGGGAGCTGAGCTGTACAAGATTAAGATGCAATTTCAAATGCATGATGGTCGGCAAATTTGTTGACATAGAAAGTGTGGAATTTATCTAAAGTGTTCAGAAAATTGATAGCATGAGGGATGAAATCAACACCGTAAACAGGAAGGAGATGAGCTGTGTAATAGATTGCATCAATGTGTATCACCAAAATATTTGGAGAGTGACCATCAAAGGATGGCTGAACTACCCACATGCCTGTGTCTTCATCAGGGGCATCACCTATGACATCAAACTAATGAACCATAGCACACTTGTACAAAGACAAACTTGTACTTGAAGGAGAAGAAGCATAGCACACATGCTATTTGAAGCCCTCACATTCCTTCAAGGTCTGGTTGCACATTTATAAACATGCAGTCATAGCAAGCATGCACATTCCTCCATTTAGGGCAGGATTGAATATGTTCCCTTTGCATCCCTCCAATCCCATTTAAGTCACTCGGTGCATAAAATCTTGATGATGCAGAATTAACCACAGAGATTTTCCCATCATAGATGGGGAAACTGTCAAGTGGGATGGTGGCATGGTCATGAGGGTCATGAGGGTGAAGTTGTTTGAAGAGAAAGTGATCGATAAGATCTTGTATGTTCAGAATAGAAAGCTCAATAGTGAGTGCTGCTATGGTTTGAGCATGTGTTAGTTCTGATATCAATGTGAGTGAGTGATATATAGTGAAAAGATCAAAATACATACAGGTTGTTTGTGCAAGCTGCACATGGGCCTCGATTTCAGTCAGCCCATTATCAATTTCACCCTCATCAAGATTATCATCAATATCAGCATTGGGCTTGGCAGTATCAGGAATGATATCAGAAGGTTCGGCAGGAGGGTTATTGCATGAAGTATCGAGACAACCTAATTGAGATCAGTGAAGCATTATATCAGAGTCTCAATTTACTTACCTGAAGCATCACTGTCTTCTTAGATAGATAATCTATAGATAAACACCTATAAAAACAAACAAATATCTCCACAGTCAGCGATTCAGACAAATACCAATGACTGATAATGTGGTTGTTCATAGGTGGCTAGTTGTATACTACCCAAGATATGTTCAGCTAAAGATACTTCTGCAACATTAGTAAATATGATGGTTAATTTAATCTATGAACTTAACAGAAAAACAAACAAATGATGGTCAGCCCGACAGTATGACAATGACTGAAAGAATATACAGGACTCCTCCTCAAGTTCCCCTTCAACAACAGTGCCTCATACCAACTATACTCCAAAAGAATAGTGCAGAATTACAATGATCAACTCCCTCAGTACAAAACAGGTAGAATCAAAGGTCAAGACTAGTCAAATGCTTTATTGTAGAACTCTTAGCTCAATATTGAACCTGCTATCAAGGAACTCACTTTGAGTATTCAAACAGACTCAGGAATAGATGTCCTTGGATTTACTACCAAGTCCCCTCTTCAACAGCTAAAGCCTAGCAGGCACAAAACACCTTGGCTCAGTATCACTACTCAGATGAGTGAGGTCAAGCTTCACTATCAATTCCTAAAGTCTCTCCACTAAGCTACTCTGAGTCTTAGGTGGATGTAGAGACAACACAAATATTTTGGAATATGCTTTTGGAAAAAGAACACCAAAGGTTAGTGAAAGTAAAACAAAAGAAAAAGAAAATAGAAAGTTGAATATAACTGTGGCTGTACCTTGCTTGCTGGTTGTTGCACACAGTGAGCTCACAGCTGGTCGTGTGGTATGATGAGCTTGCAGTATTTACTATCTCTTGAGAATGTTCCTCTCAGTCTTGAAACAGTTCTTGATACTAGTACTGATACTTATCACACCTTACTTACAACTTAGTGTTAGATGGGCTGAAAAACACCCACTTACTATCTGCTACATATTATTTCAAAACTGGGGTCATTATATACACAATAAATGTGGCTGTGCTATACATTCAAGAGTCACAATGAGTCATAGTAAGTCATAGTAAGTCATATATTCAGAGTAAGTCATAATGAGTCATTGGGTATTTTGCTAAGTCATCCTGGCTTGTTGCTAGTCATGTGACCTATCTAACTCCTGATGACAAATCCAGAAGAAATGTCACATGATGTGAATCCTTTGTATCTATCTTTTCTTTGCTTTGTTTAATGGATAAAAATGATGCGAGCCTAGTATTTAGGGTTTTACTAATATTTTTCCAGGACAACATATGTGGGAAATATTTTTCACAGTCACCTGACATGTGTGGAATTTTTTCTGGGTCATCACCATGGCTGACTAAGCAAAACTCATCACAGAGTTAAATGTACTAAAATATTCAGGCTACTTGCATACAAACTTGAAAAAATAAAAAGAAAGGCGAAAAATATTCCCTTAGCCTCAGTCCAACTTCAGATAAAAGGAAAAGAGTTTCATAGTGATATTCAGGGTATAAGACTCATGGGAGAGTATTAGTCATTCATGCACCAAACTGGTTTGGTGCAGGTCATTGCTAAGACATGTACCATTGAGCATACCACATTTCGTGAAGTCTACATGCAAAGTAGCAATTTTATTGAGTCGCTGATTCATCACAAGCATCTGTCCAAGCACATTGTATCTGTTCGACTGACACCACAGTTGCTTCACAGCTTTGATGTGTTTATTTTCCATCATTGATGAACATAGACCATTTGGTGCTCTGAATAGACAGATAAGGTCAGGATAGTGCTTCATCAAGTGCTGACATGGGAGCAAAAATGCAGGGACAACACCTGATCGAAGAAATATTGAGTGATAGTGGTGAAAGCAGCATAGAGCATCTTGTATTTGTGAGATCGTGGCCTCTGTGATGACGTTCCTTTGGATGAGATAGCAGAACTCTAAAAATGCGCGAAATGTGCAGACAACATCTGTTGGCATGTGACCCTCTATCGCAGGTAGATATATCTTGAACAGTACTGTATTAGTCAAACAAATCTTATGTCAATCAGAAAACAAAATGTACCTTCATAAGTGCCTTAGAGTCATCCCTGGTTCATTTTTTGAATCCATGGCCCTGTGGAAAACATCGCAAACCAGTGAAGGGAGTAGCGGTAGCGAGTCGTTGGTCTATGTCATCTATTTGACATTCAGCCTCCCTTTTGCTGTGAACATGATGGAGGTACTTCTCCACCCATATCACAAGATGGTCCTTGAAGCAGCCTTTGATGATTTGATGAAGGATATCTGGGGCAATCAGTTGATGAATGTTGGCTTGAGGAAAGTTGTTAGTAAAAGGCTAAATATTTATACTAAGTCAGGTGAACACTGCAGTGAGTGAACAAATCATACTACGATAGACCCTACAATACCAAAGTCACACTGCAGGACCATCAGATGTGTCTTCTTTGAAGAGGGCCTCTCTGTGTGCCTTGCATTGGCATAGCACATCCTCATTGTTCAGTTTTCCATGGGGAGTGACTTGTGATGTCTCAGCTCCAAGCTGTATTTTTCAGAAAATGAGCATAACATGCTGGATAAAATTCCTGAATTCATGAAAATATTTATGGACATAGATTGAGCCAAAAACTGGGAGGCATTTAAGGGGAATTCATACTGTTATGCATCATTGTCTTGCTATGAAGCAGCTCACTAAATGGCTTAGATTTTGAGCTACTTTCTGAGCTGCTTCATAGCAAGACAATGATGCATCACAGTAAGAATTCCCCTTAGATGCCTCCCAGTTTTTGGCTCAATCTATGTCCATAAATATTTTCATGAATTCAGGAATTTTATCCAGCATGTTATGCTTATTTTCTAAAAAATGCAGCTTGGAGCTGAGACATCACTAGGAGTGAGACATCTTTGAGAGTATTCAACATTAAGAGAACAGTGAAGAGCTAGTGAGATAAACCTTGGACACCAATTCCTCACAATGGATGTGAGTAGAACTTGCTCTTCATAGTTGGCAATATATGGTCCTAGCCCATAAATGACATATCGATAATGGCCATCACCAAAATGTGTGATCTTAGGCTTTAACATAGGTTTCTTGAACATTTCGAGTATCTTCACAAGTGAAGAATGGAAGATTTAGCGTCGGAAGTCATGGAATTCTGCAGTTTCCTTATGCTCATTGGTAGCTGCAAGACTGAGTTTAGTTACAGTATGAAAAGGTTTCAAAGACTTACTCTTTGGAATGGCAAGAAAGCCAACAAGACAGAGTGCATCTCAATGTGCTCAATGGACATTGTTGCATACATTTCCAATAGACAGGTACAATGGATAATATTCATTGTTTTTGGTGCCGACAGATACAGTTGTTTTGTTGCTTCCAATTATTATGGGTACAAATGTTGCACTGAGCACGTCAGGGTCAGTAGCGATGATATCCTGGAAAGAATGTTCAATACAAGGAAGTAACATCTAATATCAAGACACATACCGCTTGATGCCAGGCCCAGTCACCTGACATGAAGTCTTGGTAATGGTGTTCGTCTTTACTGACTGACTATTCACAGAAAGGCTGATAATCAAAATCATTTACATAATCAGGGTTAGTGAGGATGTTGTGTGCAACTTCATGAGGGTTGTGATATCAAACATCGAATTGTTGATTCATACATGAAGGCACATTCAGTATATTAGGTTTCTCTCTGGAATACTGAATTTTGAAGGACTGCCAGTTGATGCCACCAATTGGAATATTGTTGATGGTCTTGTAGAGGTCCTTATGATCCGCAAAAGGCAGCATATCACCATGTTTGAGGAGTGAGTAGCCCAGAAATCAAGGAGAGTGTTTATATTGGGTGCAGACATTTGTGCATGGCTGTACAAAAATTCAGCTGTGGAATAGTGATCAGTTATCAGGTAACTGTTCTGTGAGAGGCAGTGGTGGAGTACCAGGTGGTAAAAAAGGCCATTTGCATTACATAGTTGAGCTGGGGCTTGATTAGCATTAGATGAGCTATAAGAATAAGGTGTGCTCACCATTCAAACTAGTGTGATAGTTGCAGTACAAGTTCTTACTCATACCATAGAATTTGACATCTACATTAGGAGCTGGTGGTACAGATAAATGACAGGCATCTTCAGAAGGCGCTGTCAGATAAAACATGCTAACATATCAAGACTGAGACTCACCACTAATATCATTATCAACTTGCCCTGGTGGTGGTGGAGATGAAAGACATGGTATATCTTTAATAAGTAGCATTTGAACTGTTGTGAGTCGGGTATCACTGATGGGACTCACCAGCATTCATGTCATAATCTTCTTCTTGTGCTGGCAGCACCAGAGATGAGTGATTTAAACCTAATTACTGAGTGAAATGGACTCACCATCAATGTCCATGTCCTGCGACCTAGCTCTCTTTGTATTTTCACTGCTCAGAATTGGGTGAATTGCAGTGTGGTGCCTTATGTATCTACTGAGAGATTTGAAGTACTTATTACATCCAGGACGGCCATAAGGAATTTGATATGAAATATGTTTCCTTCGAGTTTACTGAGTAGAGCAGGGTAGCATGCTAGAGTGCAGAATGAAGAAAGAAAGCTAGTGGAGGACTGGATGCAAACCTTTCTCTTACAGTAACTTAATCAGGATTAGAGGCAGGGTAGTACCATTGAAATTGAGCCGATGCCTATGGAAGTTCGAGAACACAAGAGAAATGTCAGCAAATGTGTATGTTAACCCCTGGGACCAGTACCTTGTAATTTTTTGCGTCCCAGTTATTTGCTCTACCTTGTCTATTCCTCTCATCAACTCCAATAGTCAACCATGGCGCCAAAAGCCTTGCAAGAAGTGTCCACCTGTTGAACTTGTCCAGCAAATGCAAACATTCATCCTGGCAGGCCTGTTTTAGAGGCCAAAGCTGAGGAGTGACTCCAGAATAAAAAGAGAAAATCACGTACCAAGAGCTTGAAGGTCACTGACGACACACATGCGAATGAAAGCCCTGAAGAGAAGAGTATGTGGATTCAGAAAGCCACTGAATGAATTGCTGGTATTGAGGATACTATAGAGGCTCTTGAAGCCTAAGTGCAGGGAGGAATCAAGGCAAAGCCTATTCATCCTTATCCTGTAGGCAAAGACAAGAAAATCTCTAGCCTAGATATTACTGATGGTATGATAAACATTACATTGAGAATGGAAACTGATATTGACACTCACCAGATAAAACCACTTGTGTTGATCCAGAGGACACTCTACTGAGTAATGGAGAATCTGAAGTTATTGATGGAAAGAAGAAGAAGAAGAAGAAGAAGAAGAAGAAGAAGAAAGAGAAGATGGCAAAAATGTTGCTGAAGGAAGTCATCAAGAATGCCCACAAGACTGATAACATCAATTCTGATGCACATGCATTGAGTGATAAGAAAGGCAACAATACACCTTTGTCGTGAGTCCAACACATTCTTCATCAGAACAATGTTTTCACTCAGTGAATCAACACTTTTTTTATATAAATTGTGCGGTTTCAAGTACAACTAAAAAACACTCTCAGTGGTCTTATCAACAACTAGGCTAATGATGTACCAGCTGAACTGAAGTCCACTACACCAAGTTCCACATCAAATGCCTTTTCTGCTTCTCATGCTGCAACCACTTTGCCCTCATCAGTATTATCCACCAGTACCAAGACCAGTTCTAAGGCCAAACCTGCACACATCAATCAGAAGCAGTCAATTAGCACACCTGAGTCCAACAATGTCCTCATAGTCAGCAGTGATAGTCTTGATGACCCTGAGGCTCTTGAACAGCGTCCAGCTGTACTACCTAGGCAGAAAGGGAAACAAGTGATTAAAGTAAGTAGTTCTTCCCATTATTTCAAGGACTCATTTAAATTTCAGAAGTCTACTCTAATCATTTCCACCAGCAAGAGTGACTCTAAGCCTGAATAGATCACGTTTTCTGCTCAGCCTGGTAGTATAAAGCATAAGGCTGATGATGTTGGGGATTTTGTTGATGAGACTGTGTCTGAGGCCACTGATGATTCTGGCTTTTTGGCTAATAATTCACAGGAAAGCCTCTTGCCTAAGGTTACATCAATTCTGGCCATTGAGAAAAGCCATGTTTCTCATAAAACTACATTAGTACATGGATTTTTTCATCTTGTGTGATGATCTGATTCAGCATGTGTATTTCAGACATCTACTGTTGTATCTCAGAGTGCTATCCCTCCACCATCCAAAAAGTTGAAGAAAGAAAGCTCCAAGGTTACCAACTACAGTGATCTTGTGCTTCCACCCTCAACCCAAGTTCCAGTAGGTTATTACGACAATGTCATACCTTCTTCTAGCACCCAAGTCCCTCCGGCCTCACAGAAGGCTACTGCAAATGAGGTCATTAAACTGCATAGTTAATATTGCAACAATGATCTTCTGGTACCTGCCAAGTCAAAGTGGGTGAAGGCCTTCTTGTCTACAGCACTTCTTTGGGCTGGAAGTCAAGCTAATTCATGAGAAATTTCCGAGTCTCTGATGGCAGATGCACTGCAGGGGATATTTGATGTGGTCTACCCTAATGTCAAATACAAGATGAATTCAAATGGTGCTGTATTCGCAGTGGTAAGTTCATAGTTTATTGTTATTTTTTGTTGTGTCTTTCATACACCTGTTTAGGCACAACAGTGGCTTTCAGAGTGGAGGAGCAACATCAGCTCAACAGTGCTTGCAATTGTCGTTGATTTCTGCTCTCACATCAAAGATGTACCAAATGCTTTCATCACCAAGCAACTCTTGAAGGATTGTGCATTTGTATATGAAGACTCAGATAACATATCATGGGAGACAGCCTACCTGTCTGCATTTATACTGCAAATGATTATGTCCACTCATCTCAGTGCCATTGTTGACCATGCCAGTGTACTCACATTGAATACTGACAAGCTCACTTTGGGAAAAGGTATGGACAGTGTTATTGTGCTCTGCATTGTTGCTGTGAGTTTTTTTAAATTTGAAACCATGTTTTTTTTCTGATTGTTTCCAGCTTGAACATACCCTCAAGTTTGTCGAAGATAGCATTATCAATGCTAATGAAGTTCTTGCATCTATGGCCACTGGCAAGTTTTTTGTCAAGCTCCTAGTGAAATGCAATAAGGTAATGGGCAAGAAGTTGAGTGAATGTTACAAATTTTCCTTTATCAATTGGCATGACAAGATGGAAGCATACATGAAGTCAATTGGCAACAGGAACAATGTTATATCCTATATTCTGGACCTACATCTGACAATGTTCCCATGCTTCATTCAGACCTCCATACCTCTGCAGCTAGCCTGCATCATTCACCCTTTGTCCCATTGCCCTAATGTTATATCCCATATATCTATGCATCTCATCTGGACCATATCTGATCTGATCTGATCTGATGTATAGATCTGTTTCCTATCTGATATATGATAAGCTTCTTAATTCAATTCCTGTACATATAACATTAACACAGCCTATTTGGTATTCCTTGTTCCTGGTATCTTGGTTATACTTACTACCGGTATGCTGACTGATCCATTAACCTATGCTTCATTTCCGACTCACATTTGTAAACTTTGCTTATTGATCTTTCCGATAGTCACTTAGTATATAAACTCTTGTATATGTCTTGTAGTCCCTCTGTCTGAATATCATATTAGTCCTTGCACTAGATCTCACACTAAGTCCTCATATCAGTTCTAGTCCTCTGACTTAGTCAATATCCATCTTGGACCTAGGGAGGAATTCCCTAGGCCAGAGCTCCGCTCCTCCACTCCTCACTCATCCGATCTGATCCTCCAAGTTTCCAGAAGTTCATCTGGATCTTTCCTGTAGTCCTCTAGACCTATTCTGCTTCAGACTTTGTCTCTGCAGCCTGTCCTCTGTTTGCTTCTACTCAGGACAAGTCCCAAGTAGCCATTATACATATCTGTATCAGAACAAAACCTCATTGTAATTTCTGGGAGTTCCTTCAGAACTTTCCTGCACTCATCTGGAAGTTACTTGCACCTGTCCAGAAAGTCCTTCCAAAGCTTCCCATGCCTTTCAGATGTCCTTGGACTTTCTCCAGACATCAATCTGAAATTAAGGGCACATACTTGGGTAAGGGGTGCAGTGCATGAGCTGAAGCCAAGCCCTTCAGAATCAGTCCTACCCTTTGTGTACGGTCTTAACAAATGAGGACTCTAAACTAATCATCATTTCGCACACACAAAGGTATATGAAGAAGTCTGCAAGGGGAGATGCCTCGGATGAAGATATAGAGGAGATTCAGAGCATTGACGAGCGCACCCTCATTTGTAAAGTTTCTTTCTCTCCACTTAGTGTTATCATTGCTGACTCCTTTTTTAAAAATAGAATACTACCCTAGTACTATGGGCTTTGACACAATGTTTCTTTTCTTTCCCACTGATGACAATAACAGACTCGCACATTGTTCCTACTCATTTTCTACCAGTACTATTACTAACACATTCAATTGCTTTGCTGCCTTATATTTCCTTACTTTTTTTGCTGTTTGTTTGCAATGTGCACTTTTTCTTCTGACTACCAGAGGGATAAGTAAGACAAAGATGAGAATCAGAGATTGACATGCCTGATTAAATTACCTGCTTATTTTTGCTTATTTGTGCTTATTAAGTCATTTAAGTACAAAAAGGAAATTAGTGATTTTGCTGATGCAGATCTATACATCAGATCAAATCAGATCAGATATAGGGTCTAAGGTCTGGATGAGAAATGTGGATATATGGGATATGACATTAGGGTGATGGGACAAGGGATGAGTGATGGAGGCTAGCTGTGGAGGTATGGAGATCTGATATACAGAGATATAGGAGTCCGGATGTAGATGTGTGGAGGTACAGGAATCTGGATAGATAGAGAACTGGAGATATGAACAGGGAATCCGGAGGTCCAGATGAGGTGTGGGAACATTTTTGGATGTAGGTTTGGAATGCAGGATATAACAAGCATCTAGGAAACATCAACAATGGACTCACCTGCCCTAGCACCAATATCCTCTACTCCTACCAAAATACCTCAAAGCCAAGAGACACCTCTTGTGCCTAAACTCACCAGAATGTGCTCACCATCAGGCTATTACATCATTCTCAACAAAGGAGAGACAGCAACCTTTTGCAGCGGCCCTACATCAGCTGGAGGATAGAGATAATGAAGGACTTACTAGATTGCAGCAGCCACTAGAGAGCCAACACTAGCCCAGGCACTGAATGGCCTGGATGCAGTGTCATGTATGGTATGTGATTCATACCATGTCAGATATATATAGAGAGTGATAAGGAAGATATGAGAGACTGTCTAGCCTTCTGTCACTAAGTTACCTCTCTATTTTTGCTTTATTTCATTGTTTTGTATTTTATTTCTCACTTTTCAGGCTTATTTTACCTTGTATTTGTATCAAGCATGTGACCTTCTGTTTATTTCTCATTGTTTATTTCTATTTGACTTCTTTCAGCCACCAAGTTTTGTATCTCTATTTATCTCTGACAGTTTATTTTTATTTGGTTTCTTTCAGCCACCAGATTTTATTTGTCATCACATTATGTGACTGGGAAATATTCTGGTTTGTAACATTATTTAAGCTGACTCAACATGTTTAGTCATGATTGGTCATGCTTTGTAACAACATTTAACATGACTCAACATGTTCAGTTATATTCAGTCATGGTTAGTAATTTCTTTGTAAGATTACACTGTATTTGTAATATACTTAGTAATAAGCTAATTCATCACCTGGTTTATAAGCCACATTCTTACCAATCCATCTGATAAATCATGCTTAGTAAGGGGGTTCCCAAAAGGTATAAAAGGACTCTATTTTTACCATGAAATAATCAATCCTTTCACTTGACTCTTGCCTCAAACCGTGTGAGATCACTAGGAATTAAAGTGCAGGCCAACATAAGTGCCTTGAGGTAACATCTAAGATATCATTATCTACTCTGAGTTATATACTACCTTACAGGGTTGACTATATAACCATTGAACAGCTCTCATTCTAAGCTTTACATGTATACAAAAAGACTCACTCTTTCAACAGAAAGTAAGACACATATCTAAGGACAACAAAGTTGAAATACAACCTACTAGGCTGAAACAAACCTAACAAATTATCCAGAACATAGAACATTCTACAACACTTTGTATAAGACTACACAAGAAGAGGACAACAAATTAAATTCTTCCAAGAACTCACTACATTACCTCTTACGAAGTAGAAAAGTCAGAGACTGTGGGCTTAAGGACTGGCAAGAAGTCTTCACTGTGTATAATTATATTGTCATTATACACAACTTTTATATAAGACTCTTAAGTAACAAGATAGTGAAGAAATAGTAAGAAGCCATACACTACGAGATTGGTCAGCTGGAGAAGCTGGGGATATGCAAAGTGCTTACCTCACTGCTGTGAACTAACATAATCTCTTGTCCTTGGCAGCACTTTGAAGATGTTTCCACATATGTCAGATCCTATTATTATGTAGGAATTATATGGTCTGAGAGACTCCCTCCTCCAGGAGGCTGCTCCCAAGTTTCCCAGATATGTGTGGTCATCCCTTGTGAGCATGTAACCAGAGCCTCATCATAGAGGGTGCCAAGTGCAACCTCCTGATATGTTTTCTGGAGAGCCTCAACATAGCTGCCTCTTCAGATGCTTAATGCCTGCCTCCCTATGTCAGCATCTCCATATTCCCGCAATGTTAGCAGGTGTGATAGCAGATATATTCTGGAGCTTCCTGTATCTGTATATTATTGATACTTCCATATTCCATATTCCACTTTGAATGTTTTATTTCATTTTTGCAATCCAATACTCAGATGTCTTAAGGAGTGGGACAAGGCTTAATGACATACAAAATAATGCATTAGCTGATACTATAGTAGATACAAAAGGACATGGTGGATATGTCAACATTCAACAGCAAGTACAACAACCAGAAATGATGGAAATGATGAAACAACTTAATATCTACATGGCTGAGGGAGTCACCTGAATGCAGCCGAATGGTTAATAAAAAATGAAGCCTGTTGTCATATCCCATATTCCGGACCTACATCCAACAATGTTCCCATGCTTCATCTGGACCTCTGGACCCCTGTATCTCTATGCATCAGACCTCCATACCTCTGCAGCCCTGCATCATTCACCCTTTGTCTCATCACCCTAATGTCATACCCCATATATCCACACATCTCATCCGGACTATATCTGATCTGATCCGATGTATAGATCCATTTCCTATCCGATATACGATAAGCTTCTTGATTCATTTCCTGTGCATATAACATTAACATAGCCTATCCAGTATTCCTTGTTCCCGGTACCTCGGTTATACTTACTACCAGTATGATTACTGATCCATTAACCTATGCTTCATTTCTGACTCACATTTGATAACTTTGCTTATGCTTCATACATAGCCTTGGACCTTTGCTTATTGATCTTTCCGATAGTCACTTAGTATATAAACTCATGTATATGTCCTGTAGTTCCTCAGTCTAAATATCATATTAGTCCTCGCATTAGATCTCACTCTAAGTCCTCATATCAGTTCTAGTCTTCCAACTTAGTTGTTATCCATTTCAGGCCTAGGGAGTTTCTCCCTAGGCCGGAGCTCTACTTATCCGATACTCCACTCATCCGCTCATCTGATCCTCCGTAGTTTCTGGAAGTTCATCCAGATCTTTCCCACGGTCCTCCAGACCTATTTTGCTTCGGACTTTGTCCTTGCAGCCTTTCCTCTGTTTACTTCTACTCAGGACAGGTCCCAAGTAGCCATTATACATATCCATATCAGGACGAAACCTCATTGTAATTTCTGGAAGTTCCTCCAGAACTTTCCTGCACTCATCCGGAAGTTACTTGCACCCGTCTGGAAAGTCCTTCCGAAGTTTCCCACGCCTTTGGACATCCTTTGGACATCTTCGGACTTTCTTTGGACACTAATCTGAAATTAAGGGCACATACTCAGGTAAGGGGCGCAGCGCACGAGCTGAAGCCAAGCCCCTCAGAATCAGTCCTACCCTTTGTGCATGGTCTTAACACTTATGAGCCTAAGGAGCTTGTCCTCCATCTTCCTGGTCCTTAGGATACTTGTTAGAATACTCACACCCATACTCATGCTGATATCTGCCTCTTGGACCAAAATATGCACTGCTGGGAAGGTGCCAATAAGTCTCGACATAACTGTTATATCCATCTCAAGAGTTATGGTAGGGAACATCATAGTAATCACCATGATACTGAGGCTAACAATCATAAGGGGGTTGGGGCACAAGGCATATGGGAATCATGGTAATATTCAGGTGGCGGATAA